ATTTTTGGTCATTTAAAACTTTTTAGAATGCATCTTCCAACTTTAGGTGGACGTAACGTAATGCAAAAACAATAATGCCTTTTGTAGAACTTGCTTTGCTCTATCCACTGGTACCCAAAACATGTCTTTGGGGTTTGTCTTGTTGCCATGACAAGGAAATGGAAAGCGACATTCTTACACCAACCTAATACTAGCTTGCTATGAACTCTGTCCGATTTATAGTTTTTAAATTCAAGGTTTAATTTCTTTTAACATCAAGTGTCTTTGAGGATTAAGTTCCTGTAGATCAAACAACTTTTGGCTATTATAGGAGTATCAAATCTCGCCGAGAAACGCCACTCGAGAAGCTCTATAAGTACGATTTTTTTCAAGCCATCTTTTTTGACGTAGCAATGTTTCCCAGAAACTGGCAAATCAATTTTTTATTGGTAGGTGAGAGAATTTCGAGGATTATCATACAAATACAAAAGGCATAGGATCTCTTATGCGAGAAAATTTTTGATTGAGTAATAAAGATCGATGGACTGAGGATTGTAGGAAGGTAAAAGCGAATGTGTCCGCTTACTACTTCCTTAACCAAATACAAAGATTTGGATTAGAGAGCGCACCACGGACAATTTTCCGCATACGAATTTTTAGGTGAACCCTTTTCAGCCACTTGAAATCTTACGCCTATTCCGTCTAAAGGTTTCCTTTAAATCTCGTTCGTATCAAACATAAATGAAACCCAAAGTTTGTAAGGATGTTAGGTCGTTCGTTCATTACACAAACACCAGCCGTTAAACCGATCGAGCTGAAAATTTGCAAATGTTTTCGACCACTGTGGAGGTTATCTATTTTTTGTAGCAACTCAATGGACCCTTTCATTGATTTTATTGATCTCTTCACAAGCCTAGAAAAATAAAAGTTTATCATGCTCTGATAGGTCATTTTCGCATAATGTAAGCAGAGGCGGTAAAGTTCATTTCAATTCCACAGAGGCGGTAAAGTTCATTTCAAAAGTCTTTCCAAAGTCAGGATACGGCAATTTTTCTCAAGCCCTTTTTGCGGCTTAGTAGAAGCGTAAAAGCGTAAGTCACATGCTCTCTCAACTGAACTTTGAAGTCTTGGGTGAGATTCGGGCCACCAGTACAAAATATTGATAAAAACTAACGCACTGAGGGCGAAGATTCCTCACGAATTGCTCCAAACGCGAAGCAAATAAACGGCTATCCGCCGACAGCACTATATGGAAGTAAGAGCTGACCGTGTACCAGAAACAGAGCGCAAGCTCAGCGTCATGAAAGCACGGATGCTACGATGGAGGACATTGAGTGTTACGATGAAAGATCACATCTGCAATGCCACGGTGAAAGCCCGAATGAAAGTAGCTCTACTTTCCAGTGCGAAAAAGAGACTTAATGGTATGGGCACGTGCGTAAAAGGCAAGGAAGGCACATGACAAGAATAGCACTGGCGATGGAAGCACTAGACGGAAGACCTAGGTGTGGACCTATGACGGGGTGAATGGACAGAAACAAGCCGACCTGTGATAAATAGAAGAGGACCATGTCTCAAATAGAACTTGTGGAGACATCTGACGAAGAGCAGACCCTGCATAAGCGGAATGCATGCGGATAAATATAAAAAAGATTGTGAAAAAACTGTAGAAGGTAAAAATATGAGGCGATTCTTATAATAGAATAGAATACTTGCTGAGTATGAAGCATATTATTTCAACCATCTCCTAAAATAGCAGGCTCAAGTGCGAAAAAAGCCGCAACAAACATTTGCTCAATTCACGGAAGACACCATAAAATTATTTATACTTGTACCCGTATCAGAAATCATTCTTGAAAGACATGTGAAAGAATGGTAAAATACGATAGATAAACGAGAAAATCACTTATCAAACAAAAATTCAACTAAGCTACAATCAAACAAAATGTCAGGACAATCGAATAAAATATACTCAAGTGAGTAGTCTTAGCCTAAACTCTGCGACGCTTCAAACTTTTAAGGGTTATGGAGGGACATGTTTGTTGCGCTGAGTTGAGAATCGTGGTGCGATACTGTTGGAACAGTGGTTGGATGAACTTTGTCTTGGCATTTTCCCAAGCTCTAAAAAGGAAGATAGAATACCCTATAGAATATTAGATGACAGCCAGTACAGTGTTTTGCGATGCTGACAACATTTATGCGCAAACAATAACATACGCGCTCTATGGCCATTTCTGCGCGCAAATCACAAGCAAGACGACGGCATGCAAAAATAAGGCATTGTTTTCGCGCAAATGCTGTCTTCACCGCAGAGGCACTACATGAACCGTTAAATATAAAAGACTGTAACTACTATCTACCTTTCTCGAGTTCCAATCACATCTTTGTGCGTTTCAACTTCTTCTTCTATGCTGTTGTACCGGGCGTCAGAGATTAGTTTCAGAGAGATGCTCATTGCTTCTGAAACCATTTTTTATATATTCATGCTAGAGTTTATCCTCAAATTTTACCTTCTACCACAGCACGAACATTTGCAGCCAAAGTATCTGTTCCTTGGCCACATCGAGCCACAGCCTGCTGCATGATACTGACCCATACCTATAACTTCGGCTGTTTAAATTCGCATTTGTACGGTAGATGTACTGTAAGACCGACACTTGCCTTATCATCCTCGGCAACGTCGTCAAGGCTGATTGGCAATTTCGCTGACGGTTGGATACTGTTTGGAAGGCCGGCAGCTCTAAATGGGACTACAGCTTCTGGAGCTGGTAGTGGTTTTTCGGGAGCTGGTGATGCAATTGGCTTCAACTGTTCTGCTGAATGCGTGGCTGATGCAGAGCTGGAAGTTTGTTGAGCAATCGTAGATTAATTTTTGTTGGAAACTGCATACAGTATACAACAAAAGCTCCAAGCTTTCTACTATCGAATAAATATCCGATGGAAAAAAACGGTTTTAAAAGGACGGTGAAACATACACTCACTCGGAATTGTACCGTGGTATTTAAAAGCGTATTTATCAGTCGCAAAAACTTACATTTTTCGAGCTAAAATGATCGAAAAACATCTTGAGTTTAACGAACATGCAATGTAGCTTCAAAAGTTTTTGAGGAGCGGCTAGCGCTAAACAGCATTT